ATGTAGAATTTTAAGAATAAATACATTTACTTTTGTTCACTCTCCCTGCTGAACAGTATTTTTCATAAAACATTTTTGCATTGGTACTTGTGACATTTGACTACTATAGCTTGCCTATAAGCCTTAAAAATGGCCACAAAAAAAAATTGGCTCCCATAGCCTTCAGAGTGTGGTACACAGTTCAAGGTTTGCCAAACCAGGCCACGTTTACTCATCCCTAATACAGATACTTTCAAGGGAAACAATATTGGTTTTTGGTCAGTTTAGATAATGCTAATGTTTTATAATTGCACATTCATTCTCTGAATCTGTCATTCTACCACCTCCCAAAGGTGTTCTATTGGATTCATATCCAATGACTGGCCTACCATCTGTTTTGATTCCTCTGCAGAAAGCAAGATTCTTCAGACCAGGCTTTGTGTTACCAGTCAGCCCAGTATTGGTGATCCTGTGAGCACAGCAGCCTCAGTTTTCTGTTCGTGGCTAACAAGAGCGAAAGCCAAGGTGGTCTATCGCTGGTGTAGCCTAAAGGCCCCAAGCTTCTAGGAGTTGTGCATTCTGAGATGCTTTTTTGTAAGTTGTAAAGAGCAGCTATCTGAGATCCTGTAACTTTTTGAGATACCTCCAGCCAGTCTGGCAGCAGCCCATTTTTCCCTATGGAAGTACGCGGCTGCACGCAATTACTTGCTGTCACATGCACACCCAAACCTGCACATCTGTGTGGGTTCGGGTGTCCGCACTTGGATGCATCCAACACCGATGTGCAGGTTCGGGTGTGCATGTAACAGCGTGTTGTGTGCACCCGCAACCTCCCATAGGGAAAAACAGGCTGCTGCTGTGTGCAATTACACACAGCACCTGTCCCTTCTGGGATTGGGCTTTTATACAGGTGTGTACGCTCATATGAAAAAGCCCTTACTGTTTGTAAAGCCCCCCGACGTTACTGTACTTATGTAAAAACAAAAACCTGTAATTTTACCCCAAAATAGATGGAGCAAAACAAACCTGTGGTGTCATCCCGTGGCAGATGTAGACGATGGGGATATTGTCCGTGTCCGGCCCCTGGTCAAGGCACAGGTCTGTTTTCAAGGAGTTCTGCAGCTGCAAAATTTAGAAGAAAAAACATTTTGGTTATCAGATGTGATGGATAATCACAGAATGTTAAACATCTAATCTGATCTCTGATAAAGTGGCTCATAAGCAGCAAGGTGTCTGATTAATTAACACTGAGGTTCAGTCAGCCCGGCTGAACTCGCATGCTCTTCTGCAGCCAGAGCGCAGAAATTCTAATTCCTTCCCCCATATAGAGGTGACCACTAGAAGGAGAACTTCTGAGCCCGACTTTGTAATACAGTCATCTAAATATGAAAATCCTATCAAAAGATGACTGCCAGGCAAATGTTTCAATAATAAATCACAATGTATACTAATATACACTTTACTCTCCCTTTAAAAGGAATGTATAGTCTGCATATTGGGTTAGTACAATTTATTTTTGCACCTACAAAAAAGGTATCACTTAACCCTTGCAGTCCAGGTAACATCCTGTATATACTCCTTCATTACTAGGCCAGTTTGCAATCTGTTACAGTTTGACTGACGATTACTCGGCCACGCAACACTCCACCCAAATAAATCTTATATCCCTGTTTGACACTGATGGAGCTTTTATTTGTTGGCATTTAACATTCTGTTTACTATAGAGGAAAAAGGCCAAACGTTTTGCGTAAAAACCTGTTTCCTCTACTTTCTATTCTAAAACATAACAGATAGTAATTCCAGGGTAGTGCCATAACTCCTGAAATTACCGCTTTTTGGAAAGTAGATACCCCAAGGTTTTGCTCCAAGTTTTTGGAAACAAAGAAACACTGAGGTGGGTAACCTGCAAAAAAACACAAGATTCATAGTCATGCACAGGACCGGATTTCCCACAAGGCTAACCAAGGCCTGGCCTCGGGGCAGGAGGGATTAGAAGGGCAGCAGGGTGTGGAATTTCCTATCTCCCGATGTTCGGGACATGCAGTTCCGGGTGTCAGGCGGGTAGTTGTTTTCTTCATTTAGCCCTGCTATGGGCAAGCAGAGCTAAATGTACAGCTGGGAAGCCGCCGCTTGTTTTGTACAAGTGATCTCTGCGATTTCGCCGTGATCACTTATATGCAGCCTGCAGGTCTGCCATTCTTCATGGGGGGTTGGCGGGTAGGGGGGCGCATTGAGGAACCTGGCCTTGGGGCAGCAGAGAGAGTAAATCCGGCCCTGGTCATGCATGCACTGTTTATAACTTACAATTTCAAAGTGCATAAAAAAATTAGTTCTGCTTTAAGGTAAACATTGGCATAATAACTCCTTGAAAATACATTATACTTTCCCTTTTAAGTGATTTTTGGAACTTGCAGGAAGGAGAAAGGATAAACATTGAATGTTTCCTTTATGAAGTTTCTGGCTAATGCATCCCCAGTGTCTGCCATTGGTAAAGAAATAAGATTGTAAAGTCGGCGGGGCAGAGATGGATGGCCTGTATATAATTCTCTATTGATAAAGCAATGCGAAATATACTGCTGTATATGTATTTAAAAGCCCAGCAATAATAATATTTGCATTGAGCGGTCATACGGGGCATTCTGTGATGCTGGAGGTTAAGTTGTACAATCAATACGAGCGTCACGTAGATGCACGCTTTACAAGGTAGCCAAGTCAGTGTCTTTGGGATGAAGCGACATATTAATCAAAGGCAAACCAGCCTGAGAAATTGGATCTGCTTCTTCAAGCAAAGAAAAAAGATATTCACTGTCCCATCTGATTAACAAACTCATTCCGGCCATAATATAAAACATGATTGCCAATCTTTGGCGGGGAGATAAAGATTTGCCGCTGCGAGTCCGGGTGCTTAGTGCGTCTTTTGTCTGAGATGACTTTTTAACCTTGGACGTGGGGCCTGCGTGTCCGCTTGGAATGACAATTGAAAATGGCTTTTGTAGAGGGTGAGAAAATGAGTTGTCTCTATAGAGAATGGTCCTATGATCGTCTCTTCTTAATCTGGGGAGACGGAGGACTGGTGAAAGGGGGGGTTCTTGCATATATTTGTCATCTCGCAGTAAACCTAACCTGAAAGACTTCTGAAAATGCTACCTGGCCGTCTGTGGGTTTAATACTTCTCCAGTTACTGACAAAGCCAGCATGAGCATCCCCATCCCCAGTATGTGAATTAGATCTAGATCATGACACTGACTCCCAATTGGAGTGTATGATGCACTGATTGTCTATACCAGGAGTAGGCAACCTCATCACTCCAGCTGTTGTGGAACTACAACTCCCACGAGGCATTGCAAGACTCTGACAGCCACAGGCATGACGGAATTTGTTGTTTCACCACAGCTGGAGTGTCGGGGGTTGCCTGTTCTACACCTGAAAGCCTGTTTCACTTGTACAAAACAAGCGGCGGCTTCCCCGCTGTACATTTAGCTCTGCATGCCCAAAGCCGGGCTAAATGTAGAAAACAACTACCCGCCCGGCGCCCAGAACTGTATGTCCCAGGCCATCGGGCGATAGGAATTCCACACCCCTGCTGCCCCTCAACTCCCTGCTGCCCCTCAACTCCCTGCTGCCCCAAGGCCGGGCCTTGGTTGGCCTTGTGAGAAATCCGGCCCTGCTTGTTTCGAATCGTATAAACAGATTTCCTTTCTAAAAGTGGACACAGAAATCGTAGCAAAAAAAAGCAATGCTGGTAAAGTAGACATTGACCCCCTTTCACTAAAAATCACATCAGCCTGCAGCTCTGCATGGTGATATGAAATCATCTTACATCCATCCTTTTAGACTGTAAGCTCTCATGGGCAGGGCCCTCCTTCTCTTGTCTTGATTGGTATTGTAACTTTAATGTCTTTCTTAGATTGTAAAGAGCTGAGAAAACTGTCGGTCATATATAAATCCTGTATAATAATAAACAAACATGTTTGCTTTTCCTTACAATTACAGTTTTTCCCAGATGTTCCCCTTAAACTGCTATACATTGATGTCACCAGGAGAATAGTTAACCATCACTCCAATATTGCCTCCTGGGTGTAACTGGAGACCTGCCTCAAATTGCACCCTCTTATATTCTGCTAGGTGGACTCCTATTCCTTGCCAGGAAATGCAATGCCTTTTAAAGCCCAGTTGAACCGTTATTATTATTAATACAATGCAGTCAGGCCTTGTGTGGGCTTCTTTTTTGTTTTTTTAACACTTGTATACTTCTTGCTGCAACAGTTAAAAACACCCTGTGCTAGCAGCACACTAGAGAGTCAGACCTCTGCTCAACACAAGCTCATCGGCCTGGGTCACCAGCAGTCTAACACCCCCCCCCCCGCTCAATGGTCCAATCAACAGCACTGCTTGGGAAGAGTAAGCAATGTTGATTGGAGCATTGGACTGCTGAGGATTTGACCTATGCACTCTGCATTGGGCAGAGGTCTGACTCTCTAGCATGCTGACAGCACAGGGTATTTTACCTGCTAATAAAAAAAGAAGCCCCCCCAATTATTATGGTTTATAAAGCCAGACGTCATTACAGTACTATAGGAAGGTTTCAGTTTAGGCTTCAACCAATTCCATACAAGGAACTAGCTTTGCCGTCCCCAAAAATCCAATAAAATACAGACTTTTCACTCCAAAAACTACAGGTGGCCTACGCCAAGTGCGTCATAGTCTGCGCCTTGATACTATGACATAAACCTCCAACATCCGGAACATCGTTCTTTTAGAATTGAGGAAATTCCCAGCATTTAACCCAACACTGGACTCGCCCTCTACAACTCTATCAAAGTTGTTCCTCACTTTGATATGAAAGGTTTCAGCAGACAGCTCAGCAGGTTTTCATTCTTCTTTTTATTCCGTTCTGCATGTTAACTCTTCTTACCATGTCTCCACTTTCTGCATTTGTCAATGGTATTATCTAAACTCACACAGGAGCCTTTCAGACAAAATATGACCATATAATAAACCAGAGAGGATTTCCTCACTGAGCAACACCAGCTTGCTGAATAGCAGATCATATTAACTATGAGGTGAGTGGAAATCACTCATCTCATAGTTCTCCTTTAAGCGTATCAACTTCTCTTATTTGCTCCCTTTTGGTATGGTAATGTACCACTGGAAGGGTTTTGTTATATCTGAGGAGTGCCAACGAAAATACCTGTTGAGCCTCCCAGAAATTCAGTGAGCTGCTAAATTCCTCTGCTGCATTCTAATAAGTTACATTGTTCCCTGCTATCTCTGAGGACTATAGAACCTTCCCCTCTCTGTTATGGAGAAGAGGGGAGGAGGACATTTCAGTGAATCTATCCACTTTTTGCTGTCCTGATACAGTGCAGTGAGTAAACGTTGTCACCCTAGCAAAGGGATTGGCCGGATCAACAGGTGAAAGTACACATTAAAAAGGAAATCTAATGCAAGCACCCAGGGTCTTCCTGATGCCAGGTGTCGCCCGGAGGGGAGACCGGGTGACACCCCGCCGTGACGTTATCGCACATGCGCAGCCATCTAATTGACGCCTTCCAGTGGCCATCTCGAGGATGGACGCAAGAAGCAGAAAGAGGAGGGGACATCCACCCAGCAGGATGAGGTATGCCGCCGGGACCCCTCCTCTCTCCTGACACTGTCTGGCTCTCAGTCCATGACCGAGTGCCCGACTTTTTAGAGTGGGTGACACCAAAATGACTGTCAGTCATTTTGGTGTCACTCGGGAGCGGGCCGCACCCCCCTTGTGACGCCGCTGCAACCACCCCCACTGATAAGCTGCAGTACATTAGATACACTCAGTTCCTGTGTGCTGCAATATGCACAATTTTAATGAGGAAAGTTCAATGCTGGAGGGTTAATCTTTGGGTGTAGTTGGTGTTCAAAACAAGACATGGTTAAAAAAAAAAAAAAAAGCTTCAATCGAGGCCCAAAAATGCCATGCACCCTTTTTATTTTTTTTCTTTAGCAGTACAAGAAAAGTGGACACGATTAAACAAATTTTCAGTTTACAGTTTTTGTGACCGAACGTCGCCTTACTGGAGTTCCACTTTAAAGACTTTAATAAGCCGCAGCGTTTGAAGTACGTTCTGCTAATGAAGCAGATTAGTCATGCGGGGTGCCCCGGCGTCTGGCTGCACACATCTCTCACGCTGGTATATTTTAGGCAAACTTCTGGGTTGTATAAAGTTCACGTCGCTTCTGTTTGAAATCAGAACGGGAGAAAGGCGCAGCCGGCCTGGCGCTGGGGAGAAGCGAGGGCCCCCTCCGGCTCATCCAGGATTACACAGAAATCTTCAGTCTGCAGATGAGGATTTCAATGTAAGCCGCGTACTCTGAATGTTCTACCTGTGAGGCCCAAGAACGCAGCACACCCGCAACACCGACTTTCCTCAATTTAACTTCCTGGGTGAAGCTGTATGCAGAATATGCAGAATGTTCCGGTGTTATCAGCAGCTTAAAGCCCAACTCTGCACTCATTTTCATTTTTAAAAAGTAGCAGTAGGCCTAGCAGCTATATTCACCTCTTATCTGGTGTCCCCCCCTCCTAATTCTTTTTCACCACTACATGTCCTCAGTCTTCCAAGTTGAATGAAGCCTAATGTTATTCAATTTAGAAGAAGGAGGACATAAGGTGAGTGAAGGGCATCATATGCCCGCCAGCACAGCACCCTGCACATATGCAGATTGAAAAAGCGGTACCGATGTCATCCAAAGCTTACCAGCAATTCTTTCACAGTGAAGTACCACTGCACAATGAAGGGACCCTGTGAGGTCCCGAAAAGTGCTTGTTTTTCAACTGACAATCTGTTCAATAAAATGAACAATTGATTATCCTAAAAGGATTTTGGTGTGCTGGTGACATTCTGCTCTACCAAACAGTGCAGTACCAAACACGGCCTCTAGTCTGTCATTTGTGATATTTCAAGGCTGTGATCGGGAGCTGGTTCAGTCCCTACTGACATAGCAGCAGCAAGGAAAAGTGAAGAATTGGACACATCCGGAAGTGTCAGATTCTTCTTATTTTAATGCTGCCTATAGTCCAGCGATTATTCCCTAAAACCGCTATCCAGATAGGGTAAGGTTAACCGTAAGTAAAGGTCTATTACATTATCTTTTAAAATTGACACTATGACCGGATACACTAGCTGAAGAGAAGGCGTGGCCTCACGGAGCTATTCATTATTGGAATTTTTCCACATGTGTGATTGTCGATAGCATGAGGATCCCAAAAGCCATATGCACATTTTTACAGAAGACAAAAATCGTTTTTTGCTTAAATGCCATTGGTGACGTTCTGTCATTAGTCTAACTGTAAATATTGCATGGTGAAGTTATTTATAAACTGCGACCTATGTACATTCTGTCCCGACTGTCAGCGCGCGGCACTGCAGACTGACGTGCATCGTTAACAGAGGAGAAGGGGACACTCACCACCCCGTAGGCAATGTTGTCAGAGTACGTTCTCATTTCGGGATACACAGTGACAAGATACCACCGGAAGGTCTTACAATGTAGCCTCTTCCTCAAGGCTTTCCTCTCGGAAATGTCACCGATGTCAATCCCCGGGTCCTGCAGAGAGAGGGAGAGGAAAGAGAGGAGTCAGTGACTTGTTGTCCCAGTGCCCAGTGTGGTTATCACAAGACTGGATGTGACCATGGCTCGGCTATTCTTCTCACGAGGGAGATCATGTTGCTGCACTCTAGGAATGTTTTACAACAAAGACTGCATTTTCTAAGCTTGTCACACACAATATCGTCATTGAGGACAATCGTACTCCCCTGTTACCTATTCATACGTATGAGAATGAAAGGGAAGTTATACAAATCTTTTCTTTAGGCTCGATTCACAAAGCTGTTGGGCCCCTTCACACTATGGGGTGTATTTATGAAATGTTCACCGAGCGAATTTCGGACTTTCACAATCGCAACGCATTATGGCCACTAGATGGAGCTGAGGAACATAGGAAATTACTGTGCTCCTTGGCACCATCTAGTGGCCATAATGTGGTGCGAATGTAAAAGTCAGATGTTCGCACGTCAAACGGCTCTGTGAACATTTTACAAATACACCCCTATGTCTGGCTTTAACACAACCCATTACCGTCCATTAAGGGGCTCTCTGTTTAGGCAACACTTTGATTTTGAATGGGTGGGCAGTGCACCTTAATGCATGTGAACATATTTTTTATAATTTGATGAACACTATAATACATGGCATGTGCATTGTGTTGCCGTGCGGGTGCATTGCCCGCTACTGTAACAGTGTGTTGGGGTACCATTAAAAAAATGAATGGCACTGCAAAACACTGCACCACAATACATAAACATGAGCGGGCCCTTAAAGTTTAGCTCCAAGCACAAGAGGTCTGTGACACATAGGAAGAGTGTCACTGTAGGCCTTTGTTGTTTGACGAGACTACATAATAGTTGTCCATTACTGAATGGGAAGGTACCCCATTGGTCCCATCCCACTTATGGGAAGGTCCCATCAAACTTACTTCCTATGACCAGTTTGACCAGTCACGTCGCTACCCCTGTGTAGTGCAATGCATTGAGCCTTTTGTCTCTCACTATACTGTACAAGGTAAAAAGTTGCTATTAGAAATGGCAGAGCAGTTACTGTCTACAGTTTTATATTGAATGCATGGCAAAGAATTCCCAGAGCACTGTGGGTTAGCTAAGCAGACAGCTGGGCACATGTACTCTCCTTATATGTAGACTTGTGCGCCGTCAAAAAATTTGTTCTGTTTTGTTTCGGAATATCCGTTATTTTGTATTTCGTAATTCGTAACTGAACTCAATTCGGATTCGTACGAAATACGAATTTTCGTTAGTGGCGGTTATATTTTCGTTATGATGAAGTTAAAAAGCAAAATACCTTTGTTAATATTGGAGTGGTAGTTGTTTTTTTATCCGAAATACGAATTCCGTTAACGGATTCCGTATCCGAATTTCGGATTTAAAAAAAAACTACCATCAACTCCAATATAAATGTACTTTGCTTTTTAACTTCAATATAACGAATGTTCGTAACGGAATGAAAATACGTCAACGGAATTTCGTATTTCCTGCCTGTGTATTGTAATGTAACTCTCAGCAGCAGCGGATCCGTATCTCGGATTTAAAAAAAATCTTGTCATGTTGTTCAACCTCATTTACAGGGGTAATATTAGTTCCTGTTTCAAAGAAATTCGGATCCGAAATTCGTTAACGGAATTTCGTATTTCGGATATAATTCGGAAACTGCCATTCGGATTTCGGATGCTCCGAAATTCGGAATTTCAGGAAAATTCGTACGAATTTCGATTCGTAACGAAAGGAATCGCACATGTCTACTTATATGAAGGCTGCCTCTGGTTGAATCTTTAGAGGGAGCATCCAGTAAGTTAGGAGTCACCTGCTGTCTGCGTGTTAACATAAAAAAACATTAATAAGAAATCTTTCTTCTTAACCAGAAAAAAAAAGAAAAACATATTAAAAATGTTGACCTGACCATAATAAATAGAGAGCAAATATGAGACCTGACCATAATAACAAATATGTACAAAACCATTAGACATTTCCTTAAAAAACAGGTTTACATTGATATTCCAATCTTGGGATGAAAAGCCAGAGCACTCCAGGTAAACATTTTTTTTGTTTTGCTTCTGAAATCCTATTAACTGCTAATTAACACTAATTACCCTAATTACCCCCCTCCTCCCTCTGCTTGGCTTAGCTAGTTTTGTCATCAGCTTCTTTTTCTTCTGTTTTCTGCTGAAATAAAGACATTTTATTATTCATATTTGGTTCAGTGTTGCATTTAATTTAGTCCAGCATTGAACCAATCAACACACACACTCTCTATATATACCGTGTTTCCCCGAAAATAAGGCATTGTCTTATATTTGTTTGGCTCAAAAAAAACACACTAGGTCTTATTTTTGGGGTAGGTCTTACCATACCATAATACCGGTAGAAGGCTTACAAGACAGGAGTGAGTGGCAAAGTTAAGAATAAGGTGATCAGGGCAATCAGGGGTGCCGTACCTTTCGAAGAGCAATTTGGTAGCCAATCGCTGGCCAGAATGAGCGAAGCGCACTTTCACTATCGATTCCTCACAGGCGGAGTGGTTGATTTGGTATCAATCCGCCTGCGACAGGAGCCGGCGCTATAGAGGAAGCATCGGCTTATGCGGCTCTGCTCCCTCCAGTGCCGCCTCGCTTCCTCTAGCGCTGGCTTCGTTGGCATTGCTGATTCTCTCCCGCGGCTCTTCAAGTTCCCCCTTATGCCACCGCCGGCCCTGGGAATGGTCACAACTAGGTCTTATTTTCGGGGTAGGTCTTATTTACGGGGAAACACGGTATATCCATGTCACTGGTGTCACAAACACAACTATAATAAACTAAAGTAAAAGCTGGACTGATGATTAACACATACCAATAATAACTAATAATATCCGATATTTAAATGTTATTAATAAACTTTAAAACAGATACAGATTTTATTTTTCTGTGGCGCCACAAAACATTGGGGGGCTTCCAGAAAAACAGTAGAAGCAGTCTGCCGTCAAACTGTCTAATTAAAAGTCAATATACTGTATCACGGTACAAGGGACATGCCACGGATCCTCTGTTCAGTCAGCTATTGAGCTTGCACCCTAGAAAAAAATGAGCACCTAATCCTTGCAGTGAGGGGGTAGTCCTACTGCGAGGGAAAATTGGTAAAATGCCCGGAGTTCTTCTTTAACCTCCAATATAAGTATACTTTAGCTTTTAATAAATGTAACAAGATGACATTCGGAATCTATGATGTTCCCTTCAGCTCTGCAGTTCACAGACAACCGAGCAGTTAGCAAAACAAAAATATTGATTTGTTTTTAATTGTTTCCATTCATTTTCCAGCATCTATGTCTAATTAAAGCCAGAGCAGGAATACTCCTTCCCGTTCCTACCATTCTAAAGAGAGAAGGCCGGAATTCAGATTATATTGGGAGGCGTCCGCATTGGTCACCTTTTGACGAATGGTTCAGTTAAGCGAAGTGTTTCTGAGCTGTTTAAAATCTCCGGCATATTTGTCTTATCCTCCAGCAAGATGAATACATCACCGGGAGCGTCCTATGCTAATGTCCTCATTAAATGCACATTGTTTACATGGATACATCTGGAGCGCGAGGAACAAGAGACGGGAATAGAGGAAGTAGGATGCGGTCTCTGTAGGTATCAGCAGCGCGAGATGAGTCCTTGCTGTCACACAGACTGGGGTTGACAGGTTCCATCAAGTGATCGGGAGCTGGCGGAGTCCCCTGTTGCTTGCAGAATTACCATACACAAAGGTGAACGTGGATTGAAGACTACAGAGCTGGCTTCTGTATCTCAGTAAATCACCCCCTGACTTCTGCCGGTGTCATTCTCTGATAAATCTTATGTTTTCCATTCTGTATTCCAGCACGAAGGCCGGTGGGCGTATTGTCATAAATGAAATGTTTACTTTAAGCTGAACTCAAGGTAAAAGGATAAATATAGAGCTGCAATACATATGTGTGAACGGTCTAATCTGCCGAATGATTTGTACCGTATTTTTCTGTCTTTAAGACGCCCCCATGAATAGGACGCCCCCCCCTTTTCTTACCCAAAATTCAGAAATCAATATTTCCCATGCTCTTTTGCATAACTGATTTTACATTCAGTTTACATTTTGCAGAGTAAGACAGCCGCTTACTGGTACCGGTATTTTTTTGTTTTCTGACATTTTTATGGGCTCCCTGTTGCATCTGGGCGCTGGCTACACGCTCTCCGCAGCATCAGCTGACGTCGGGTACATAAGGCTCATGATTGGAGGAAACCTGTTAGCTTGTCTCTGCAATCGGAAGTTTCACTCGTGAGGCTAGTTTGCAGAGGTATCGGCAGTTTCGCAACCGCGGTTCTCCTCTCGGCCCCCCGTGTATAAGACGCACCCTCCATTTTTAGGTAAATATTTTTTAAGAAAAAGTATAGTCTTATACACGGAAAAATACAGTTATTCTTTCAGGTAATTTTTGTCATTCTCTCACCTCTGCAAGGCAGCACAACCCAGAAGGGTGACAATATTTACTCAGTTACAGTTAAGTGCAGTGTTGTCTCCGCCCACAGACCGCTGATTGGACAAAGAAAGAGCAGCAATACACGGATATATGTCTTTCCTCCTGTCAGTATGTTCCCTGTCAGAACATGTGCATGCAGCTGAGCTATGACTGGCTGATAGTGCTGCCCTTGTCTCTCCCAATCTGAGTGCTGATATACATTGGATGAAAGGCGACTGATTTCAAATCAGATTCAGGCACTTGTGCTAACTGTATGTAAGTCACACAACAGCTTTTTTTTTAATGTCTTCCTGGATGTTATCTTTAGAAGAACCTGTCGAGGTATAAATAGCCCATTGCATATTTGTTTTCAAAGGAGCATGCACAGTGACTGTCAATCTGATTCTTGCTTCACTGCTTTGTGAGCTGATAGGTGCTCATCATTTGTCCCTTTCCTTTAAATGAACCACGCTTGGTACAGACCAGGGACTGCAGTTGATAAGGATAAGGATCGCAGCCCCAGCGGATGCACCTTCAGACATGAGTCAGCAATGAGAGTAGGAGAGATGTCCTAAAGTGGACACCATAGACCACATTCCCAGCCGTGTCGGGTCAAATGTTTCTATGGAAAGAGACTATAGAAACCTTTGCAAGACCCATTCATCAAACTGACATGTTAAATCTAGTCTGTCCCCTTTCACCAGCAAGATGGAGCTGTGTAAAGTCAGCTTAGTCAAATGTGACAGACCAGAATGGCCACCCTGTAAAAACAAGATACTATATAACCGCGGCTGGAAAGCCCTTTGTTCTAGAGAAGGAACCTGTTATTTCAGCATACTTGTCATAATATTGGGGTCTAGGGACATCACAAACAGCTGTTTTTGGACAAATGACCATTAGAGACCACCGTACCTCTTGGGGGATGTTCCAGGCCATGTAGACATGACTCTTAAACTCATCCATCCAGACCTCCGCCACCCTCAGGGCGTTCCTGCGCACATGGGACGTCAGATCCTCGGTGTACGGCTTGTGGGCTCTTTCTATGTGGGCGATTCGAGAGCAGGGCAGAACCTCCACACTGCCCCCACACTGCCATACCTAGAAATGAAGGGAACAGTCTGAATATAGTGCACAGGACTCACAGAAATGCCTTAAATATTAATATATTTTTTCATTATTACAGACAAATGCTCATTGAGATTTATAATGTTTTAATACCCATTCCCAAGTTTTGTTTTTTCTGATATTTAAACCATTTCACCACATTTGTACAATTCCTCTTTCCTTCCTATAGCACAGTATAGCTTGTCAACTGACTGTAGATGAAATGGGGCATAAAGGGAATCGGTCACAGCTGAGCTGGTGCAAAAATGTATATACTCTGCCTTTTAAAGTGACACTAAACTCCGGAGGTAAATCTTAAAAATACATTCAAGTCCCTTAACTCTGAACAACAATGTATCTTATTTGTGTATCACTCGGCTGTAGATCCTCCAATCATCTCTGAATTGGTGCTGACACTGTCCTTCCTTCTGGAGGGGGGCTACTTTTGCTCCCCATTGTCCTTGTGTGTGTTGTAAAGTAGTCACCGCTCCAAGCTCACTCCTGGGATGGACTACAATCTCAGATTTAGTTTACTGATTTGTATTGTAGACCAGTTGCTAAAGTCCTAAATCCAATTACTATGTGACACAGAAGCCTCAAAGTAACAAAAAACCTCCTTTTACCTTCCCTGACTGAGCCAAATCCTCCATTTGTGTCTCACGCGCTTCACCTTCCCAGACACTGCAGCTCACAGTGGGAGGGTTTCAGCAACAACGGCAGTGCTGTCAATCCAAAAAGCAGTGGGCGGGACTATGTGGCTAGCTGCTGATTGACAAGCTACAGACTGATAGCCACGCCCCTGCAACATCTTCTAATCCCACTCTAGTGCAAGCTGGCACAGCCTACACGAGAGGGGCAACGGTGCTCTGTATTAAGGAGCAGTGCAGCAGTGTTGTCCCCCATCACAGGAAGCTGCATTATATGGACTTCCCCTGCAGGATACACAAGTTTTTCTAATACTTTGCAGGCGGACTAAGAGAAAAATATAAGTGCAGATTCATAATTATAATTAAATGCTGCAGCACATATTTCGTTTTTTAATGAGAGGCCACAGTTTTATTTTAATTGGCTGGCAAGACCCCCTCACTCCCCTGCATGAGATCACATGTACCCAAGGCCAAGCAAGCTGCACAGGCTACTGTCCCCGCGGGGCTGCAGACGATCACACCGTGAGCCAACTTTGTCTCTCTAATGCTCATTTGTCTCTGAAGCTATAATTTTCATAGCTATAGGGTAACGCAGACAGACCTTGGCCACTTTTATTGAATGCAACAAATGATAAAATTCATTCTGGACACACAGCAGCGGACTGCCGTCCTTTCTCTATTCCTGATTTCAGACCCTTTTATGCATCAGATGATATCAGAACAAAAACCAGTCTGTCTCTTAAAAGGATGATCTTCCAGAATTTAGCCTTCCCTTGCATGGGCCGCCTGGACACGCCTGGCACAGAAAGGCGTTTAAATAATGGATTGTGCGCAGTCACCCCATCGCAGAACGGCCAGGATGGAGTTATCGGAGGATTTAATGACAGTATTGATCCATGCCAGAGATGAAAATCCTATTTAATTCAGTCACGCGTGCCTCTGTCCCTTCGCTTCGCATTACAATACAAAGAGAACAAATTATAGCTTGATTACCATCTGTTACGTCAATTATCCTGTACTCGGCTGACAACAAGCGCGAGCCTTTCTGTTATTACAAGGTCCATTGTACATTGAAATAGCCAGGTTTTTTTGGTGTACTACAAAGGACATTCACTGTGCCCTGCCATACAATTAAAAGGAGACGGCTACCCAATAATATAATTAAATATATACATTGTGGACAGATTTATAATTGCCACATTTGTTCCATAGACCTAAATATGTGAGGGCACACCCTGATTGTTTAGCTTCCACCTATATGTGTGCCTGGAACACAATAAGACTTCACAGGTTTATATATAATAGTATCTGGCCATTTATTCATAGCATACAAAAGGGTTTTTTTTTCTCCGTGGTGAGCAAATCGAAACATTGTTTCTTTTCAGCCTTTCTTTACCTTGTAGGAAGGAAGTAGTACACAGCTTGAACATGCATATACCTGATACAAAGGGTTACCCATTGCACAGGTATTGATTAAACAAATTTTGAAGATCATCTTTAAGACCACATGCTGCAGGAATCTATTGAGTTATTATTCTGTCAGCACCTGTATGCAGAGGAAGGGGGGAGCGGCTGTTCTCATTTCAATCTGTGCCGCACAGCTGACAATCTGTTTCCTGCGCTTCTGTGCGGCTAATGTTGATATTTGTCCTCAGAAACGCATTACATGTACTAAATGTATCCCCCTTCCTGCCCACTCTCCACGTCCTCCGCAGGCATGGCACGCGGCCCACGCCACAGATGGCTGCTGGGTAAGGACTGGATCCGGGAGCTGGCCAGACTGGAAGGTGAAACCTTGCCAGACAGATTGTACAGAGTCTGTAGCTGCACCATGCATAAAAACACTACAGGACATGAGGGGAGCTTACACCGAGCCCTAGAATAAAACAATTGTGTTCCTGAGCCCATAGGACAAATTAGAGTGTGCACTCCCTTGAAATGTGAAGTCCGTGCCATGTGAAGAGACAATACCGAAATAATTCAGGACCTCATCGCTCTTGTGTTAAGGTCTTTCACACAATGGGGACATAGGAATAGCCTGACAGTCAGTGGTGTCCCTAGCCTGTTTGCAGCCTGAGGCAGTGGTGGTGTTGGTACATGCCATTGGAGCAGCAGGCGATCATTAGAGAAGTCAGTGCTGCCAGGCACAAGAGTGACACTGCTCCCTGCAGGCTCTGCATCTGCCCGCCCAGGTCTTGGCAACCTGGGATTCTCTGGTCAGCGTCCCACCCAGCTCCATGCAACCAGTGACATCACACTGGTGGTGACATCTTGAGGTAAAGTGAAGAGAGTTTAAAAACACAAGGCACTGACCATTACACTCGAACATAAGCCCACACACAGTTGTTGGCTGCGTTCACAAATGTCTGACACAGATAAGCCCCTGCTGGAGTCTTTCACCTTGCTACAAAGTTAAAATGTTGCAATCTGCTTACTGGAGAGGGGAGACTGAGGCAATGCTTCCTTCTGCCTGCAGCAAACTGATCACTGGGGGGGGGGGGGCTTGGGGGGGGGGGGACCGAGGAAATGCTTCCTCCTGCCTGCAGCGGACTGATGATCTCATCCTAGGCAAAGTCAATGAAGCTCAAGGATGACCTTTAAATGGTAAAAGGTGGAGCTTTTGGAAAAATGATACTGTTGCTGTATAATATGACAGGTAAGGAATGTATTAATGGGGACTTGTAAAGTTACAGAAAGTCCACTTAAAATGTTAAGTTTAAATGTTAATTTGAAGGTTCAGCTTTTGGGCTCAGATGAAGGGAGGGTTCAGTGTCAGAGTCAGGATAGAGGTTGGGAAGTGTTTGGGTTCACTCTACTTTTTCCAATTGTGTTCAGCACCAGCAACCAACGTACAGAAGCCGATTTACTAATGAATTTGAGAAAGTTCACACAATAAAATGTGTGAAGATTGACTTTGTTATCCAATCATGTGAAAAGATTGGATAACGAAGTCCAATCTTGATTCATTATTTCATCTGAACATAATTTGACAATAATTAAAGTGGAACTTTGCACATTTCATTGTGTTAACATTCTCGGATCCTTTAGGGACCATTTACATGTCTGAAGCGCATTCAGGCGCGTTATGTCATCTGTTAGAGCAACCCATTGAAAATAATAAGCTGCCAACACACCAAAAAGTTCCAAAAATCAGATGTGACACGGAAGTTGTAACGCAGCGCACCGTATGAGTGTTGCCTTTCATTGGGGCGCTATTCAAAATAAATAGGACCGTAATACAAAGGTATAAATGGGCCCCTCAGTAGATCAGCGTCCTAGTCACAGCATGCAGAAGATGCCCCTAGATTCTCTGAGGACACCAAGCTATTCCAGAACACCTAAAAGTTTGCCGCAGTTGGAAATCTCTCTTCCATTTTAAATCATTTTACCAATTTGTTCTAATGTGTTTACATCGGTTCCTTTCCCGGTGCTGGTTGTCACGAACAGCTAGTTAGGGAGAGGAAATTGCCAGATGCGATTTCTATTTCTGAAACCGTGACAAAGTACTAAAATGTTCCAAACAGTAAATACGCAGAGTCTGTGAAATGCCATGAAATGTTTCAGACGAGGTTAAAAAAAAAACTCCTCTAATGTCGCCTTGTTTTCCGGAGAAATCATTATTATTATCATTGATGAGTTAGTAAACATATAGAAATTCTGATGCAATTTATGTAGAAACATTTTTGTTTAATTGTAAGTAATTAATATGTAAACAACTCGGGAACGTCTTTGAGCTAAATGCATTTAATGGATCCCTGACCGACAAACATTTTATATGGCCAAGAGCATGTGGGCACCCCTCCAAATGATTTGTGTCCAGGTGTTTCCAGTGAAGAGTTCTGTTATTGCTAAAGCATACAAAGACATTTTAGACAATTGTGCTCTTCCAACCTTCTGGTAAGGCTGGGTTCACACCTAGGCGTATCGAATATGCGCGTTTGTCGCACGTTTCCTGCCGCGATGGCTGTATCCCAATGGATACGAGCGGCAAATACGCCCCAAAGAAGCTCCTGTACTTGTTTGGGCGTAGGGCGTTTTGCAGCGCGTTCCTACGTGCTGTAAAACGCCCAGGTGGGAACCAGGCCTAACAGTTTGGTGAAGACCCTTTTCTGTTCCTCCAAGATGTCCCCAGCACAGTGCAGCATACAAAGCCCCTGAGTACAAGCGCAGTGTCCCCTGTGTACAAAGCCAGTTCCATAAAGACATGGTGTGACCAGTTTGATGTGGAGGAACTTAAGTGGCCTTCACAGAGCCCTGACCTCAACCCTACTGAGCACATTGAAGTGTACCTATAGCCAAAACCGTTTTCTATTGACATGTGGGTAAATGCAATGGTAGATAGGTAAA